ATGCAAACAGCTAAGAGAGACCCCAACACCAGAGTGATACTTATATGATTGTTTGCTGAGATCAGCTTGTTTTCATCAATAACCTGGAATTTTGCCTTTAATATCCGTGAAAGTCAGGAGAGCCAGGAGCGATGGCATAGTCTTGTGATCCCAGCACTTTGGGAGGCCAACCTTGGCCATTTAGTGAGACCCTGTCTCAAAGATTTTAAAAAAGGATGGGGTCTGAGGGTATAGTTCAGTATGAAGGTCTGGGTTCAACCTCCAGTGAAACACACACACACACACACACACACACACACACACACACACTAAGGTGTTTTTTTGTTTGTTTTTTTTCTGGCTCAGCCCACCCTGAGGGTGGAGCTGGTGTGGTATGTGGTGCCTGGGATTGAACCGCAGTCTCCTGCGCCTGCCTAAGCTTGCCTAAGCAGGCACTTTGGATCTCTGAGCTATCTCGCTGGCCCCAACAGTGAGGTTTTGACATTAGGACATGAAGAGTCAGAACGATGCCTCAGATAAAGCCAAGACTTCCTAGGGACATGTCCTTTACTGAAAGAGAGGCTGAAAAATCTATGGCCCAAGAAGGTGATGGAGATGTTTGCTACTCTTTATCTGACTCTTTTAGGAGAAAGACCTGTTCCCAAGAGACTTAGTAATCGCCAGCCTATGCCTCACATGAGCTTAGATTGCAAATGTAACTATCTTCCCAGTCTAGATATGCCCAGACGACAGTTTAATACAAAACATAAGTTTACAACTGATCTACTTCTGGGACAACTGAAAGAAGCATTTACACTAATTCTTTCATGGCACATGTCCTCAACCTAACCTACAAGGGGTTCTTACAGAAGCTAATAATAAAAAGCTACAAAATATAAGATGAAATTATCACAATACATTATTAGAAGGCACACAAAAAATACACTATTAGCCTCTTAAGTATTTCAGACAATGGAATAATTTGATAAAGACTATGAAAATATCTTTTAAATTGTTCAAGGCATAACAACTGAAACAAGAACATACACACACACACACACAAAACCCAGCTAGATTTGAAAAATCTCTTTGAAAAAGAGCCTCTACAATTAAAAATACAATAATTGATATTTTAAAATCACTGAAGTGATAGTTAAGAGCCATATCTGAGTGAATTCCTCAGCATGAGTACAGATATATAAATAAATAGAAACTATGAAAGAGAGACTAAGTGAAATTCAAAATGAATAAGAAGATGTAATGTATATAATAGGATTTCTAGACAAAGAGAAGGGAGAGAAGAAAGATAAAATGCAACTAATCATTCTGAAGAACAATACAGTTCAGAGCAAGAGAAAGAAGTGAAATAACCTAATATTGGAATATATTATGCAGAAACTACAAAACCAAAAACAGACCAAAAGAGTTAAAGGCAACTATTTTACAAACCAAGAGACAAAAAAGAAAAGAGGAAAGAAAAACATATTCAGAGAAGTCGTCTAGGATATCCAAACTTCAAATAGTTCCAAGAGACAGAAGAGAGAAGACAGAGAGAGGGTCATCAGTAATTCAGGCAACCACTGGGATAGAATAAATGCATTTAAAAGACATTCAAGCCAGGGGATTGCTCAGTGGAATAAGTGCTTCCCTGGCAAGCGCAAGGGCCTGAGTTCAATCCCCGGTTCTGGGAAAAAAAAAAAAAAAAAAAGACATTCAAGCTTTCAACAATTTACTCCAGCACACTCATTTGTATTCTAGAACAGAAGCCCTTGAGTTCTCTGTTGAGAAGGGGCCACTGACAGCTCATCCTGATGGATAACAATAAATCCATGTCAACATATATGGATTTTCTGAATCTTAGAAGCAAAGATAATGTCTAGCAGTTTCCAAACAGAAAGAATATGTTCACATAGGGAAAAAAATCAAAGTCAATTCCAAACTTCTCAGAAACATTAAAAAACTAGAGATTAGGATGAGGTGGGATGGGATGTGTTTTCAATTCTGAAGAAAAATGATACCCATCCTAGAATTCTGCCAGCCTCTCCAACAATCACTGGGAGAGAATAAAGGCATTTAAAAAACATTCAAGGTTTCAAAAATTTACCTCAGTACCCTCATTCATATTCTAGAATCCACTGTGAATCTATTCCAAAATAAGTGAGTAAGCCAAGGAAAAGCAGACAGGAGTTAGCAGACGGGGGATACAATACAAATGAGGTCAGAAACTCTTGTGGTGATGGGTCAGTGAGCACGCAGGGTGACAGCTGTGCTGCAGGGATAAGGGGCAGCTGGCCGAGGTGGAGCAGATCTGGCCTGGCAGTCTTCTTCACCAAATGGAAACTGATACCATTTTTTGTTTTTTTGTTTTGTTTTGGTACTGGGGATCAAACTCATGACCTTATACTTGCCAGGTAGGTGCTTATGCCACTGAGCTATCTCCCCAGCCCTGATACCATATTTAAACAGTAGAGATATTTTGCTAATGAGCCGTGAGTTAGGGGCTCACATAGTAAAATGTGTAGTCGTGTGTTGCTTAATGGGGATATATGCGAAGAAATACACTGATAGGTGATTTTGTCCCACAAGCACTAGGGAGTAAGCTTGGACAAACTAAGATGGCCATGGCATGCCACTGGGTGGGTGATAGAATGGCATGGGCCCACTGGCATATACGCAATTCATTGTTAACCAAATCATCATTATGTGATGCTAAATTATATTTGAAACAAACAAAAAAAGGAGACTCTTTATAAAATAAAAAGTTGTACAGGAAAATTTAATGACCTCTTGAAAAAAAAGTTAGGGTCTCATCGCTTGCTCAGAATGTAAAAAGCTATCTTTTGTAATTAACTTTTTATTTTTTTCCTGAACAGAGGACTGATTCCAGGACCTCCTCCATACTGCAACTTCTCTACCAATCCCAAACCTCTCTAGTTTTATTTTTGAGACAAGGTTTCACAAAGTTGCTCAGGCAGACTGTCTTAGTCACTCTTCTCTTGTTGCTGGGACAAAATATTTGACACGCAAAGTTAAGGAAGATTAACTTTAAGAAAGATTTATTTAGCTCCCAGTTAGTGGAGGTTTCAGTCCGTACCCGGCTGGCTCCAAGGCAGAGTGGAACATGGCAGGAGGCAGCAGTTCATGGTGACGGCAGAAAACAGCAAAGAGCAAAGGGAGGGGCAGTGGCTGGGGCTGCTAGCAAGCCTCTTTCCCCTCCTTACATTTGTGTGCAGATTATCTGCCCTGGGGTGTAGCACTCACACTCATAACCCCAGCATTGGATCAAGAATTAATCACAAGGGTCAGCGAGATAGCTCAGGGACTAAGTAGGGCAAGTGCAGGGACGGGTTTCCAGGCTCAGCATCCCATGTTGGCCCTGCCCCTGGGTGCGCTGAGTTGGCCACTGAGTCTGGGCGTGGTGGGACACACCTGTAATCCCAGCACTGGGGTGGCTGAAAAAAGGAAGATCACTATGCTTCCGAGCTGCATAGTGAGACTCTGTACCACATATGTAAAAAAGAAAAAAAAAAAAAAAAAAAAAAAGCAAAAGAAAAGAATTAATCACAAACTCAAGAAGCTGCTCCATGACTGCATTGGGATTTAGAGAGAACAACTAGACACAAACCATAACACTGACCCCTATCTTGCTTTTCTTCTGCCTTAGTCTTCTGAGCTGCTGAGATTAAAGGCGTGTACTACCACACTTGGCTCATCAGCTTTTATTTCTTAAATTGAAGTGTTCCAAAGTCGGTAGGGTAGCTTCAAGGTAGAGGCCCTGATTCTTGTTATCCATTCAGCTGGTGAAAGAAGGAAAATGTGACAAGGACGAGTGTGGTGGCTCACACCTGTAATCCCAGCCATTTGCGAGACTGAGATCGAGGCAGGATGATCCCATGGTTGAAGCCCTCCCCACAATTTAGCAAGACCGTGTCTCAGTATGCAAAGACAAAAAAAGAGCTGGGATATAGCTTGGTGCTCCCTGGGTTCAACCCCCAGTGGTAGCGTGAAAAGAGACCTAAAAAAGCATTCTTAATGCTTTGTGGGGCTGAAACCTCCAGTGGGTCCCGTTTCCCCCTCTCTTACCCCCATTAGTCAGAACTTGGTGACATGGTTAAGCTATTAAAAGGGAGACTACAGGGGCTGGGGAGATGGCTCAGCAGAATAAGCGCTTGCCTGGCAAGCACAAGGGCCTGAGTTCAATCCCCGATTCTGCTGAAAAAAAGAAAAAAAAAAGAAAAGGGAGACTACACATACTAAGGATCAACTAGGTGGGGGATATATCTCAGCAGTGCTGTGTCTGGCAAGCACAAAATCCTCAGTTAAGTTTCCAGTAAACCCCCCCCCCAAAAAAAAGAATCAACTAGCAGTTATTCTTTTCAGTATTCGAGGTCTTAATGAGAAAACAGTCTGTGGAAGCTAATAAGTGAGTTTATTTTAAAACTTTATACTGTATTGTAATATACACAAGTTAAAAAGCACACAAACCATAAGTGGACAGACTGATGAAATTTTGCAAAGTGAAAATATCTGTGTAGTGAGTTCCCAAGCTAAGAAATTTAGCACTGTCAATACCGCAGTCTGAGTTTCGAGGAGAACCTGAAGGAAACTGTCACAGTGGAAGAAGTTCGGGGAAGCTGCGGCCCACGAAGGGCTAGGCGAGGCCTGCGATAAGGCGGTGCCATAACCAAGTTAAGCTGGGGGGGGGGTTGGAAGACAGGGGAGGGCGGGGCCTAGGGTCGCCCCGCCCCTGGGCGGATCTTCCTGGCGCTGACTAGGCTAGAACGAAGTGGTGTTACTCCTGGGTAGTTGGGGGCGAGGTTAAGCGATGGGCGGGTTTGCAGCCAGAGTGCGCAGGGCCTTGCGGTCATCCGGCTACCAGCAGCGAGTCGGCTGGAGAGGCTGGCAGAGTTTCGGGAAAGTAGGAAGTTTAGAAGCATATTTGAGCCCCAAGCTGCATCACGCACGTCACATCAAGGCAGGGACTTCTTGACGTCACAGCGCACGCCGCATCGAGGGGCGGGGCTGACGCAATCCAAGATGGCGGCCAACGTGTTCCCGTTTCGCGACGCCCGTGCTGCTCCGGATCCAATACTGGAGGCCGGGCCCGTGGCACATGGGCCAGTGCCGCTGGTATTAGACAATGGGTCGTTCCAGGTTCGCGCTGGCTGGGCGTGCCCTGGGCTAGATCCGGGCCACGAGCCGCGTCTGCAGTTCCGCGCCGTGTGCGCCCGGGGCCGGGGCGGGGCTAGGGGCGCTACGGGCCCACAGGTGGGCAACGCGCTGGGCAGCTTGGAACCGCTGCGCTGGATGCTGCGCTCGCCCTTCGACCGTAATGTGCCGGTCAACCTGGAGCTGCAGGAGCTGTTGCTTGACTACAGTTTCCAACACCTGGGTGTCTCCTCACAGGTGAAGGCTGGGTGGGCTGAGGGGAGGGGAGGAATGAGGTCTCGTCTTACTGTTGCTCTCTGGAAGATGTTACTGCAACTCTGATTGTCATTTAGTTGGCCGATCACATATTAGCCTTGACGTGTGTATGCCCAGTACTAGCAGGTGGGGGTACAATAGTGACCAAACAATGCTTTTCTCCTGGAGTAGCGGGCATATGCCGTTGTCTATTGATTGATTTGTTAACAAATAGGTATTGAACAGCTACGCTGTGGGGCACATTTATAGGCATTTGGAATACATGTGTGAACACGTTGTGCCAATGGAGTAACCGTGGAAAAGGTGATCTCGTATGAAAAGACGTGATCTGTGCCAGGATAAGAGAGGAGGCGGTTACATTTTTTCAATATAGTGGTCAGGTAGGCCTGGTGGAGAAGGTGATGAGTGAGCAGGGTCAAAGGAGGTAGCTGAGGGAACAAGCCCTTTGAGTGTCTGAAGGGAAAGTATTATGGTCCGAGGGAAAGGACGGTGATAGGCAGCCAGGAGCGTGGCATAGTCCTCGCTGTAGTGGGGCGAGAGTGGAGGGAAAAGTGGACTAGGTACTGCCTGGAAAGGGTACCAGAGGCAGTGAGTGCACACACCACATGCCTTGTAAAGCTTTTCTCTGAGTGAAATGGGGAGCAATTCTAAGCCGTTAACCAGTGGGAGGATATGATTTGTATCTCAGGAAAATCATCCTGCTCTATGAAGAATGGACTGTCATGGAAACAGGGACTGTCATGGAAACAGGGACGAGTTAGGAGGCTGCTGGAGTAATCCTGGTGAGGGATGATAAGTAACTTAGGTAAAAAGTAGCAGGGAGTTGGTAAATAGTACCATTTGGATTCTGGAGCTATTTTAAAGAGAAAACAAGCGTGGATTTCTCAAAGTTTGTTTAACTTTTGACTTAATATCCTTAAATTTGACCCTACTTTAATATTTTCCAAAACAAACTCCAGGGGGCTGGTGAGATGGCTCAGTGGTCTAAAGCACCTACTTAGAACAAGCTTAGCAAAGCACAGGAACCACGGTTCAATCCCCCAGCACCACATGCCAGCCAGCCCTGCCCCCTCGTGGGCTGAGCTGGCCACACACACACACACACACACACACACACACACACAAAACACAAACTACAGTAGAGATTGCTGTAATTGTCTCTTATCAGATTATTAGAGATCAAAATCAAATTGCCCTATAATAAAGATTGGAGATTCATTTGCGTTTTAGAAAGAGTATTCTGTTATCACTCATCTGTTTGTCCTTTTTTTTTTTTTCCCCCAAAGTAGGGCTGTGTTGATCACCCTATAGTTTTGACAGAAGCTGTGTGTAATCCACTATATTCACGTCAAATGATGTCTGAGCTCCTCTTTGAGTGTTATGGAATTCCAAAGGTTGTGTATGGAATAGACAGCCTCTTCAGCTTCTACCACAATAAGCCAAAGAACTCGATTTCCAGTGGGCTCATCATTTCATCTGGATACCAGTGTACGCATATTTTGCCCATCTTAGAAGGAAGGTGAGTTTTACTTGTGCCATTTGAGTGCTGTTTTGTGACACGTACATTTATCCAGTGCCTGCTGGAAAGAGCAAGTACTAGACTACAATGTGAGCTCGGCTTAGCTCTGACCTGCATCACCGTATGGCTATAAGTTTATCACTTTCCTGATCTTGGTGACCTTCCAAAGAGAGTTGACATAGGTGGGGTCTCTTAGGTCTACATCCACAGTTACAGGATTTTATAATTCTGATTTATGAGAAGACAGGTAATACAGTACCTCCAGATAGTAGGTGCTGAATACAAATGTTTTGAATGGGGCTAGAAGTGTAGCTAGCTCAGTGACAGAGTACCTGCTTAGTGTGCATGAGATCCAGAGTATGATCCCCAGCATTGGGGGGAAATATTTTGAATAAATTACTTCAGTTCATTTAATATAGACTATCTTGGGGGGGTCACTTATTTATTGAAATGTGAATTCCTTTAATCACCAATGTTCATATTTTTTTCTTCTGTTACAGTGCCTTACACATAATAGGCACACACTAAAAGTTTGGGTTTTTTTTCACACACTAAAAATTTGAGTTGACTAAAAGGCAAAGAATTGATTCTTTTATTGTTGGGTAAAAGACTAAGTAAAGCCAGGTGCATGCCTTTAATCCTGGCTGTCTGGGAAGCTGAGACAAAAGAATCGCAAGTTCAGCCCAGCCTGGGCAACTTCATGACATAGTGGGACTCTGTCACAGAATTTTTTAAAAATTTAAAAGGTCTAAGGATGTAACTTGGTGGAGAGATCCTGGGTTCAATCCCCAGTACTATGAAAAAGGAAAGGAAAAAATAAGAGACTAAATAGATCACTTATGCCCTGCTGCGTTTTCTTACACTGCATAAAAAGCTTTGGCTTTGCGATTTAAAGCCTGCATTTGTAGCCCAGCTAAGGATGAGATCCTTGTCTTACTTTTTCTTGTTGCTGAGATAAGATAGCCAACATCTCCAAGTTAAGAGAGGAAGGGTTTGTTTGTTTGTTTGAGACAGTGTTGACTGTGGTTACCCTTGAACTTATTTTGTAATCCAGGCTGGCCTCATCTCAGCAATCCCCCTACCTCAATCTCCTAAGTGCCCCACTGCGCTTGGGTAGGACGAGTTTAATTAGCTCCGTTTGTAGAAGTTTAGTTCACAGTCGGCTGGCTCCAGGACAGGGTAGCATGGCAGGGGGGCATCACAGGATAAACCGTTCATGACAAAGCACGGTAGGCAGGAAGCGAGTGACCAGCAACACGAACCGTGCCAGCCCTCTTACACTCTCTTATATTGTATCTTTAGCACCAGTGCCCTTAACACCAGCATCATATCTTTGATCCCAGCATCACACTCCCTAGATCCAGCCACCTCCAAAACTTTTCCTGTGACCGCTTGAGGCTTTGAGGGACTGTCTAGATACCAGCCATTAACAGTCCTTAACCTTTTTCCTTAGTATCGTAATTAACTTCGGGGAAACCTGGTTTCTCAGGTTATGCTGAAGATGCAGTGAAGTAGTGTAGATGATGGCAGTTTAAGGCAAACTAAATGCCATTGAATTTATTGAAAGTAATAATGGGACTTTTTCTTGAATTCCATGAAAATCCGTGAAGACAGAAGTCATTCTTAAGCATTACCAAGCATTCCTAAAGTATGGAGGTCTATATTTAATGAAAGCAGATAATGCAAAAATTAAAAAGTAATGTGTTATTTTGTGTTATATTGAGAGCATATTATTTTTCTTGAAGACCAAAGAATGATCGAATTGGAGCATAGCTTTTTCTATACTGGCATGTCATGGTAAGGTATGACATAGCAATGTTTCATTATGCAGCAGTTACCTAGAACTCTTACTTTCACATTAAGAAAATAAAGTTATTCAGGTTCTCTTCTCTTGGTTCATGGGAAGGGTCTGCCTCTTAAGAGGTTACAGTAAACCAGTATGTGCGCACTTAATTATTTTGCTTACTTTGATCATATGAATAGAAGCGGGTTGTGGACGGGAGGAGTTCTCAAACTCTGGCCTAGGTCAGAGTCACTTGGGAAACTTGGCAAAATGACGGTTCCCAGGCTCACCCCAGGACATCCGGGCCGTAAGAACTGGCTTTAGTATTTCCCCAGCTTATTTTGCAGTATTTGATCTGAAATACATGGTGAGTCACATGACGTGGGTGGTGGCAGTTGTAAACTATAAAGCAGTCTGCCTCTTTAAATCAAAATAAATGCTAGAGTTTTTTGAGACCTACAGTGGGAACTGGAGTGTGTGTTCTTTTATTGAGCCTCATTGCCTTCTGAGACTTGTTAGGAGTCAGAATTCCCACTTTGAGTGAGAGGTTGTACCAAGGGAACTTGAGTATGTTGCAGCTGTCAAGTGTTATGTTCCCCTGATGGTCTGTTTGTCTGCATTAAATTCTCCTACTTACCCTAAGATGGTTCATTTTTTGTCTTTCATGATGCCAAAAATTTCAGTGTTGTTTTCTACCACTTGGTTGCAGGCTAGATGCCAAAAACTGCAAGCGTATCAATCTTGGAGGAAGCCAGGCAGCTGGCTACCTTCAGCGACTCCTCCAGCTGAAGTACCCTGGCCACCTGGCTGCCATCACACTCAGCCGCATGGAGGAGATCCTGCACGAGCACAGCTATATCGCTGAGGACTATGGGGAAGGTACTGGAGGGGTGCCTGCCTGCAGCTTGAGGGTGGTATCAACCTTTGGACTGTTCCTTAAATTATTACCTGAGTGCTGGGATTACAGACATGTGCCACCATGCCCAGTTGTGATTGCATTTTAAATATACAGTCAGCCTTGATTTTTTTTGTTTGTGTTTTGGATAAGCCAACTTGTTCATGTACTTCATGAGGGTCATTGCTGTGTGGTTTTCTTGTACTGTCTTTTAGCGTCAGGGTGATGCTGGTCTCATTAAATGAGTTGAGAAGTGCCTTCTTTCTGAAAAGACTGTGTAAATAAAGTTATTTTTCTTAAAATGTTTAATAGACTTTTCCAGTGGTACCATTTGAGCCTAGCCTAGGAATTTCTTTTTCTGAAGGTTTCTAACTATGAATTTAATTTCTTGAATAGACACAGACTATTCAAATAACCTCATTAATGATGTTATTATTCTACTTTGTTGTTGTTTCTGTTTCTAAAATAGAAGTTTAGGGCTGGAGAGATAGCTTGTTGGTCTAAGCACCTGCCTGGCAAGTTAAAGGACTGGGTTCAGTCGCTGGCACTGAAACTGGGCATGCTGGTACACACCTGTAATCCCAGCTGTACGGAAGCCGAAACAGGAGGATCACTGCCAATCTGAGCTGCATAGCGAGACCCTGTACTAAATAAATAAAATATTTTTTACTGAAAAAATAGAAGCTTAGATTTACATCATCAGAAAAATTTCATTCTGTGAATTTTTCTATCAATATAACTATTGTATCCCACAAATTTTGTTACATTTTTATGGAATCAAATATTTTCTAATTTCCTTCAAGACTACTTATTAAGCAATTGATTATTTTAAAAAGTGTTGCTTTGTGTACAAGTGTTTGGATTTTCCTGTTAATTCTCTGTGATTTCTACTTTAATTCCGTTACAGTCGAAAAACTTTGTCTGATAACAATTGTTTGTTTTATGACCCAGGATAGTCAAGTTTGGCAAAAGTTTCTTACATACTTGAAAAAATTATATATTATATTCCAGCTGGGTATCATGTTCTGTGGTGTCACTGAGGCCCTGTTGGTTAATAGTGGCGTTCAGCTCTTGTGTGTCCCTGTTCATTTCCCTTCTGCTGGCTCTACTGATAATGAGAAAAGTATATTGACTTGTTTGGTGGAACTGTAAATGTCCTTGTTTTTTCTTACAGTTCAGTTTCAGTGAGTTTGTGTTCTGGTGACATTTTGTTTTTGTTCTATATTGGGGATTGAATCTAGTGCCTGGCACACAGTAGGCAACTGCTGTGCCGCTCAGTTACATCCTAGCCCAGCTGTGCTTTCAGGTGTCTGGCTCTTGTTGGGCACAGGGTTAGCGTTCTGATGTCTTGCTGCCGTGCTGACCTTTTATCACTGTGTGACACCTCTCTTTATCCCTGGCAATTCCCTTTACATTGAAGTCTGTTCAAGCATTCATATAGCCACTCTAGCTTTCTTTCGATTAGGGTTTGTTGATAGATACGTCTTTATATCTTTTTCCTTTTATCTACCAGTATCACAGTATTCAAAGTGATTTTCTTTTCTTTTTTTTTTTTAATTTTTATTTATTTACGTGTGTGTGTGTGTGTGTGTGGCCAGCTCAGCCCACCAGGGGGGGGGCTGGCTGGCATGTGGTGCTGGGGGATTGAACCGCGGTCCCTGTGCTTTGCTAAGCTTGTTCTAAGTAGGTGCTTTAGACCACTGAGCCATCTCACCAGCCCCCCAAAGTGATTTTCTTAATAGTTGGGTCAGTTTTTAAAAGTTCATTATGTTATTCTTACCTGGTATATTATAGAACATTTAAAATTAACTTGTTCACATTCGGATTGAGGTTCACCATTTTATTTTTGTTGTTGTTGTGTTCCTTCAGTTTATTCCTTTGCTTCTCTCTGCTACTTTTAAGGTTAGTTGGACTTTATTTTTTGTTAGTTAGTCCATTGTAATGTTTATGTTTGGCCAGACATATAGCTCACTGACACAGCGCCTGCCTGGCAAGTATGAGGTCCTGAGTTTGGTTCCTGTGGGGGGAAAATATGTTTGTTTTTTTTTAATCTTTATCTATGTTTTTATTTTTTATTTTTTTAAAGTACTAGAGATTACAGTAAGTAGAACTTTTCATTTAGTATTAATATGTACTACTGCCGGCAAAATTCATCCTTCCCTGTATATGTTGGAGTTGTGTATTTGAATACATTGGGAGCCATCAGTGATAGGCTTGTCTAAAATTTTAATTTAACTTATTTGCTTTTGTGGTAGTGGGGATTGAACATAGGACCTTTGCACTAAACTACATTCCCAGTCCTTTTTTTTTTTTTTTTGCGGTATTGGGGATTGAACTCAGGACCCTATGCTTGCCAGGCAAGCGCTTATTCTACTGAGCTATCTCCCTGGGCTCCCAGTCCTTTTCAAGGGACTGAGTCACTAAGTTTCCCTGGCTGAGCTTGAACTTGTGATCCTCCTGCCTCATTCTTGCAGAGTACAATAATAGAATTTTTAGTTCCAGTCATCAAACGTATTATAAAGAACTCATGATGAATTATTCTGTTATGTTTTACCAGATTTTCATCACTTTCTCTTTATTCTTAATGTTTCAGGCTTCCTTTTAGTAAGAAGAAATTAACTTAGTTCTTTTAGTACATGTGCTGCTGAAGCAAGCACTAGCAAATTCTTCTGCAGTATATTGTTAGCATGATGTCTAGGTTTTATGGCTATATTAGTTGACTGAATGGATTCAGAATTGGCAGGGGTATGTTTTCTCTATCTTGAATCATAGAATCGTAGGATTTTTCCTGTATGTAGAATCATAGGAATTTTTTCTAATGCTGGGAATCAAACCCAGGGCCTTCTGCATGCTCGGCTGGTATTGACTTTTTGATTTTCGTGTTGATAGTGTTTGCATTTCATAACTTCCAAAATTGTTCTTTGAAGAATTGCATAAGTGGCGGTGCCCAGATTACTACGAGCACAATGTCCACAAGATGCAGCTCCCATTTTCCAGCAAGCTCCTGGGCAGCACTCTGACATCTGAAGAAAAGCAGGAGAGGCGGCTGCAGCAGCTGCGGCGGCTGCAGGAGCTCAATGCCCGGCGGCGGGAGGAGAAGCTGCAGCTGGATCAGGAGCGGCTGGACCGGCTGCTCTATGTGCAGGTGCTGGGCATGCAGGTGTTGGGCGGCAGGTGCTGGGCGGCAGGTGCTGGATGTGCAGGTGCTGGGCGGCAGGTGCTGGGCGGCAGGTGCTGGAAGGCTCCCTGGCCCACTCAGCAGGGGTTCTAAGGACATTTTTTTCCTCTACATTTTTCTCTCAGCCATAAAATCAGCCTTGAAAGTCAGCTTTGGGGTTAAAAAGGAATCCAAGGGGATGGTTGGAATTATGGTCATCGGTATAGAGTATAGCATGGCAGAAAGTGTTTCTGAAAGCTATGGACTCCAGCTTTATTGATTTGGGTTTGCCATGTAATTCTTTTTTTTTTTTTTTTGGCTTTCTGATTTAAGTGTAGTGTGCATGATGCAGAGCACACAAATCTTAAGTGTGATCTCTATGAATTTTCGTACCCCTGTGTCTGCTATCAGAGAAACAGCATCACCAGGCTCCCTTATATCTCCTCTCAGTCAATAATTACTCCCCCAGAGGTGACAACATTTCTGACATCTGTCATCGTAGATTACTTTTGCACTGCTAGTCCACAGAGCTGGAGAGGAGTGCAGTCGTATGAGCTGCTGTGGGAGCTCGAGACCTGATTCTGTGGTGCGCAGGCTAGGGGAGCCTCACAGCCCTTTCTGCTGCACTTGTTTCCTTCTTGCTTGTGCTTCTGCAGTCTAATGGTTGCTCTGGTTGCAGGAGCTCCTGGAGGATGGCCAGATGGATCAGTTTCACAAAGCTTTGATAGAGCTGAACATGGACTCCCCAGAAGAGCTGCAGTCTTACATACAGAAGCTTAGTTTGGCAGTGGAGCAGGCGAAGCAGAAAACCCTTCAGGCAGAAGTCAGCCTCGAGGTGGATGTGGTAGACAGCAAGCCAGAGGTGACTGTGCTTTGGGAGGGAGGCTGCCCTTCTGAGGGGGAGGAGTATCCAGAGGGCTAGCATGGAAGAGGTTGTGACCAAGCCTGGGGGAAGAGAGAACAGTGTGATGAGTGTGGTCCCAGGGAGCATGGGTGTCAGGAGCAATGGCAGGGACCTTGTACAAACTGAAGTTCTGACTAGAGCGATCCTCCCCCCCTGCCGCCGTGGTGGTGGTGGGGAATATGTGCATACAGACCAGGGAGAACATTTACACACCAACCCTGTATGCTGTCTTAAACCTGAACCTGCTCCCCTGATTATCGTTTGATAATCTTGGTCTGCCTTTAACTCATGTTATTGAAATACTGTGGTTGAGTGTTTACTTACTGGCTTTCCGTCTTGGTGTTCCTTAAGGACAAAGCACATGCTCCACACATAATTTATGAATTATTTACAACAACTAGTAGATATGCTAATTGTAAGGCTTATAAATTGACCTAAGATTAGATTTTTGTTAGATACTAAAGACTAACACGAAAGAAGTTCCTTTCCTCCTTTCTGTTCTCAGGCAGTGAATTGTTAACTATTGATGTAGCCAGAAGTGTAGGTGGCGGATCTGAGCTCAGGCCCTGGGTAGCATGAATCCTAAGGCCTTGGGGCCTCTCTGGGGAAGTGTGGCTTGTAGATCCCTCGGTGCAGAAGTCATTGGCAGGATCTCGTGACTTTAAATTTGGAACTAGTTATCTTAGAGCTTCAAAACAAAGGAAATTAGTTATTGCTCTGTAACATGTTTGAGACAGATTTAAACAAGTTAGCTCTTTTTGTTTTTGTTTTTAGATGAACTTTCTTTAAACTACTGATTGTCTGTCTGTCTGATTGATCGGTTGGTTGGTTGGTTGGGTTTTTTTGTTTTCTTTCAGACAGGATCTTGTTAGGTAGTGCAGGCTGGCTTTAAAGTCACTGTATAGCCCTGGCTGGCCTTGAACTCTTTGCAGTCCTCCTACCTTAGCCTTCTGAGTTCTGTGTTTTGCCTTTTTTTTTTTTTTTTTCTTTCTTTTTCTTTTTTAAGAAAGAAGTAGTAGTGCTAAAAATCCAAGTCCATGTCTTTTGAAGCTGGGTAGTGTTTTGCCTTTTTTTTTTTTTTTTTTCTTTCTTTTTCTTTTTTAAGAAAGAAGTAGTAGTGCTAAAAATCCAAGTCCATGTCTTTTGAAGCTGGGTATAGTGTGGTCTTTTTTTTTTTTTTTGGCGGAACCAGGGATTGAACTCAGGCCCTTGTGCTTGCCAGGCAGGCGCTTATTCTGCTAAGCTATCTCCCTGGCCCGTGTAGTGTGCTCCTTATCAGTGATGTCACCATTGTCTTTGGCTTAATATGAAGCTCATTTTTGTAGCACAGACCCTGACTGGAGGCTGCCCATAGTGCCTGTTCATAGCCTTGCATTCTCTGCCTTCAGTGACAGGATGCTGACTGCGCAAGAACAGTAGCTGCCCATGAGCATGCCTGTTGTAGGGCAGAGCCTGAGCTGGGCTTACTAGGTGTCTGCCCTTACTGGATCACTACCATTTAGGAGAGAAGGGGCATTTATCATCCCATCCTATGTGGCATCCCATAAAAGCTTCCCTTGAGTCCCTGCACCTCTGCATTTCTTTTCCCAAGATTTGGACCTGTGTTTCATTTACCTGCCTCTTTTCTCTTCTGGCCTCCCTAAGGATAGGGCTCAAGCTTCATAGCTGTGGTGTATGCAGATCCAAGACTGGTTTGTCTCTGTTATATATTCATCCATATTTAGTTTTTACTATGTTTTATATGTCAGTAGGACATAAGTTTCTTTATACCAGAGAGGTACCTTGAAGCCACAGGCTGGTAAAAAAATGTCAGGTTTTAAAGGGAAAAAGCAGAGGCTGGCCAAATAGCTCAGCAGATTAAAGCACCTGTAAGCAGGCGGAGAGGCCGGGGCGATCCCCAGGCCTGTTCTGCCAGCCCTACCTCTGGAGACAGTTGAGACTGGGTGTGGTGGCGCCGCCTGTAATCCCAGTGCTTAGGAGGCTGTAAACAGCTGGATCACTATGAGTCCGATCTAGTAGTGAGACCCTGAACACCCTGTAGACCCTTCCCTAAAATACAAAAAAAAAAAAGGAAAAACAGTTTTGAAGGTGTGATTCCTGAGCAGTTGGGTACTAGGTTTTCCTTTTATTTCTCTGCACTTCCCTGTTCACAGATACTTCCTCGTACTCTGTTTTGTGCTTTGGAGACACATAGCAGATCTCCTTGGCCTTGGGGAGATTTTGAAATGTTGTTCTTCACTAGATTTCTCTGATCTGTCTTCAAAGTTGTAATGATGACTCAGCATTTTGGGTTACGGCAACCAAAACTCAGGACCTTGTACTGCTAGGCAGGTGCTGTGCCACTGAGCTACATCCCTAGCCCCAGCCAACATTTATTTAAGGTGATTATTAGTGATTAGAGTCAGTTACTGTCACGTTCATGGGATGGATTTGACCATGATGTTGCTTAGCTGGGTCTACCTTTCAAAAATTATTTATAGTATTTCAACAACATAATTCACTTGGAATGAAGAGAATGCACGTATAGAATGTGAACATAAGTTCATATTGAATCCATGTAAGCAATTGTGGCGGCACAGTTACGTTTCAGACACCCCGTGATAAGTGAAAATCAGTGAAGCAGCGACATTGTATTTAGACTAATATTTTTTGAAAACCTATAAAACAGTGAGTCTGCCAAAGTCAAACTGCGAAATAGTGAGGGACTGCTGTATTGTGTTAATGTCGCTGGGAAGTTACAGTGTTTCCTAACAGTTGTTCCTGAGGAAGATCTGTTGTGGCTCTTGCTCAGTGAAATCATCCCTGTGAGGTGCCTGCTAACAAGGAGCAGGCTTTGTTAGTATTCTTAATGAAGTATTTAAACTAGAGGGTGGTTTTTTTTTTTTTTTTTTTTTTTTTTTGCTTTTCATAGCTACAAACAGCATGAGAGGGCAAAAGGGGGAGAACAGAGTTTTAGAGCATCGTTGTTTGTTGGAAAACACAGTGGGCCAAATACAGAAAGTTCTCTCGTGTGGTTTGACAAACTCCTCTTGTTCAGTTCGAAAGGAACAGCCACATGAGCGTTCCTGAATGCCACACGGTGCATGTGGTTTGCTGGCAAGCTCGTCGGGAGGGAAGCCAGTGTGGTAGAGAAATCTCTTCTTGGGTGCGTGTGCTGGACATTGAAATTAGCAGCTTTGTTCCTCTCTGTGAATCTTATGAATTGTGATAAGTAAACACTCTTTTTAACTATTTCTAGTGAAGCTAAGAAGTTATCTTATTTGTAAGATGGTAAGTTCTTGAATGTAGCTAGACAGAAGTGAATGATAAAACTTACATTGTAAGTGAAGAAGTTTCTTTGATTGCAAAGTTGTGTAATTTCTGTTTTCTAGGGAAATTTTGAGAGTGGATCTCAGGGACCCACCACTTAGTACCAGGTACAATATATTAGTGGGACACCAGAGATGCAGAGATGATTAAGATACGATTCCTGCCCTCCTGGGTACCCCAGAAAAAGGGCAGAGGATGTATACCTTACTGACTGTTACGAAGCATATCAGATCCGTGGTAGCTGTGCGGGGATACAGGTGGATGAAAGCATCATGTCCTTTCATGACTGTCCTTGGAAGTCACCTGGCAGCATTTACCCAGTACTTGGTTGGACTCATCATGAGCTCCTGCTGAGACTGAAGGGAAGGAAACAGAAGTCCTAGTTTCTCGAGAGTGTATCCTTCATGGGCTAAGGAAAGCAAAGTGGTCTGCACGGGAAGAGACTTTGTGCTTTGCCAGCTATGGCTTAGAGGTCTCAGGGTTTTTGTCTGTAGTTACTTCTAATTCACAGATACCCTCTGTTTATCTCCAACCTAATACAGCTGACTTATTGAAGTGGCCAAATGATGTGTGTGTATGACAAGAAGGAAGGAAAGAGAGTGTTCAGTGCTCACCTGCTGCTGCCCAGGAGTTGACATTGCCACAAGCCCTGCTTAAAGATGGGGAGGCAGAGCAGACCTTGCCAGCGGTGCCACGGTGGTGCTTGTGTCTGGCTGATGTTGGAGAGCTGGATTTGCTGCCTCCAAAGGCTGACTGCTCTGTTACACTAACCTGACTTCTGGGTGTTCTTAAAGGGAGGTTTGGTGATACACCCTAGTCCTCTCTTGGGACCCCTCCAGGGGTCTTTTCTGAAGTGATGGGTTTAGTGGCATGCCTGCAAGGGCACAGGCACTCCCAGGGCCTGGGTTCCTTTCTTGTGAGGGTTGCTGAGTGTCTTACAAATCAAAAGTGGTGAGCTATAAGAGGAATGGGCTCTTAAGCCCCTGCTTGGGCAAAGCAACCTGTCACTGATATTTGCTGCTCTTTCTGCTGAAAGTAGAATCCCTTGCTCATCTCTTATATAACCTGCTCAGATCTTGGGGTAGATACTTACCACTACTAAAGCCTCAGGTTCTACTCATGCTCAGACTCCTGATTTGTAGGATTCTGTTGTAAGGCTGAAAAGAGACTTTGGAGCTGAGCAGTTCTGTCCCCTGCCAACTTTAGTCATGTGATGTGACCTTGGGTGGGTTACTTCCCCTGCCCGAGCCACAGCATCCCCACTTGAGAGATATATAAGTGACTTCTGCAGTGTGGATTATGTAAGTAGCAGGAGTCCCTCCTCTGTGCCTGATTTGGTATTAGAGTATTGGGACCTGCTAGTACAGGACAAATTGTTAAGATTATTAACATTGGCACCTATGTTTATTGACCATTAAGAGATGTATTTTAAGACTAGGTGTGAAGAAAAAAAAAGACTAGGTGTGGTGGCATGCACCTGTAATTCCAGCATTTGGGAGGCTGTAAACAGGAGAATCACTATGAATCCGATCTACATAGTGAGACCCTGAACACCCTGTAGACCCTGCCCTAAAATACAGGGGGAAAAAAAGTTGTGTTTGATTTGTGGTAGTCTAACTCCTCTGTAGGACAGCCACTGTCATGCCCTGTACCCGAGAGTTGTGTGTGTGGTGTCACTGGTGCGTGCAGCTCATTTTCCATGGAGCCCATCCTGGAGTTGGCTCCATCAGAAGGCTTCAGAGGAGCCAAGAGTTGGTGAGGCTTGTATAACTGGGAAAGGTTTTTCAGGCTGTTTGTGGGTGTGCTTTTTTAGTTTAGAAAATGTTTGTAGTTTTTACGTAAGTTTTTGAAACATTATACAAGATCCTAATTCATTTTCAAGATAGTGGATAGAACTAAGGCTTGCCAGAGGCCAAGTCTGTTTGTTTATTCTGTTCTGTTCTGTCCTTAGACCCCTGACCTGGAGCAGCTGGAGCCATCTCTGGAAGATGTGGAAAGCATAAATGATTTTGAGCCTTTGTTTTCTGAAGAAGCACCTGAAGTAGAGAAGCCCATCGCCACTGTCCAGGTTTGATTCCTGCTATTGTGTCATATGCACGCTTTAATGCTGTGGACGTAATGATTGGTCCAGTCTGCTTTTTTAGGAATCCATACTTTAAGTCTTTGTTACAGTTTCTAGAAGAGGTCCTTGCAGTGTGAGTCAGGGATTTTTCCCTGTCATTGATTGAGATTCCTATACCACAGTCTGTGAATCTAGTAGAAACTTTTTACCTAACAAACTTTTCACAAAGAGTTGGGGTTGGGGTCCGGGAGATGGCTCAGTGGAATAAGCGCTTCCCTGGCAAGCGTGAGGTCCTGAGTTCAATCCCCGGTTCCGCCAAAAAAAAAAAAAAGAGTTGGAGTCTTCACACCTGCAAACTGGCTTTCAGTGCTGCTGTTCAGTAATTTTGTTCAGTGATACACACATTGAAGCTGGTGTACTTAATCATCACTGGAGTGTCTATTCCTTTGGTCACAGCAGCTGACTGACGTGAGGCTCCCAGGAAGAGAGAGTTTTTGCTATGCAGAGACCAGGAAGGCTAACACAGGCACTGGGTGGAGACATGGTCTTCCCTGCTGGCCTGTTCAATGCAGCTCTACATGAAGTCCCTTCCTGCAGTTCGGGGCCATGGCCTGGTGCAGTGTGGGAGTCTGTAGTTCAGAGGTTGGGTGAAGGTAAAAAAATGAATTTTCAAGTCCAGGAAGTTGAGAGCTATTCAGGTGTGAACAGAGAACAGAAACTACATTGGTTTAAGTAATGCAGTTTGAGAATACTGGCAGCTGGGATGGTTGTCATGGTCTAAAAATCTCTCTCAAACCTTGGGTTTTTAAAGCCCGTGTTTAACTTGGCAGCGTATCATCAGCTGTTTGTTGGGACAGAAAGAATTCGCGCTCCAGAAATTATTTTCCAGCCATCTCTCATAGGAGAGGAGCAGGCAGGGATAGCAGAGACTCTTCAGTACGTTCTGGACAGGTAAGACAAAGAGACTTCTTTCCCTTGTACTTTCCTGAGCTGGCTTGACTGACCTTATCAAATACAAAAGTTACATTTCTTGTTATATAGGTCTTATTTTATCTTGGTCTTAACTATCCAGCAGAAAAGTATAAAAACAAGGTATATAAAGTAAAGCCATATTAATATGCTGAGCTGTGAAAGGCTCAAGTCAACACCTGCGGATAACCCACTACGATTGTGGACTGCTGGACTGTGTTGAATTGTTTTGCTGAATTCAAGCACCTATAATATTTAGATGCCAATAGAATACCCATCTCTGACAGGACTGACCTGGAGAGGGGGGATACAGAGGAAGGACCATTTTGTATTTGTATATACAGAATAGTTAGGATAATGTATGGCTGCTTTCGCTTGGTTCAGTGAGAGGAAGGATTTGTAGTAGTAGTGTTTACACAGGATGTCCAGCCTGCTTGTGCTGTGGATGACCACTGAGAAGATAACAATGTGCGATGTATTAATTATTGAAAATGTTCTATTAATCAGCTTGGAAAGTGTCTCATTGATATTTGTTTCTCAATAAAAAATAAAATAAGTACTTTTCTGAACCATTTCCTTGAGTTTTGCATTGAAAAGATTGGCTGATTGGGTCCTTCAGGAGTCTGCCTTGCTCTTCTCACTGTTTTGATAGCCTTCCAGGCTGCAGTGAAAGTCTTAGCAACATAGTAACGTGTGCTGGCTTTTATGTAAAACCACATTATTAAAGACTAAAATATTACAGTGCTTATGAACACTTCCTTCCTTGTGGGTATTGTAGTTATACAAGAGTTTACATTTCTATAAGTGTGCTGCCTCCGCCCACCTACACCATCATGTTTGCAAGTGGGAGTTTGTTTTAAATGGACAGATAAGGATAATTTTATAGCGCTCTGGCTACTTTTACTAATGATAGGATGGAAGTGAAAAATCTACCTAGCAAGGAAAAATCTCTTTTCGTTGTTTTTTTTTTTTTTTTTTTGAGTGGCTTTGACCTTTTTCTTAATCATGGGTGGAAAAGTGATTATGCATGCATAACCAAAGATGTTATTACAAAGACACTGAGTGTGCTGGCACATCCTGGTAGGTCCAGCTACTTGGGCTGACATGGGAGGATTAGCGGAGCCAGAGTTGGAGACCAGCCTGAGCAACAGAGCAAGAGCTCATCTCCAAACAGAACAAAACAGGGACAGATGGAAAAATGAACCTTCAACCCAAAGGGGAGGCAGAATGGTTCCTGACGTATAAAAATATGTCAGCTTTTATTGTAATGTATGGAAGTTAAAAATCTTAAATGAATTTTTGAAAGACTTTATGAGGGGCCAGCAGGATAGCTCAGCAGTCTAAAGTGCCTGCTGAGGCAAGCTTAGGCAAGCCTAGGGACCGTGGTTTGATCCGTGGCACCACATGCCATGCCAGCCCTGCTCCCAGGGTGGGCTGAGCTGGCCACAAAAATAAATAAAATAGAATAAAAGATATTATGAGAGTACAAACATTCTGATCATGTTAAAGAAATGAAATAAGGTTTTGACTAGATAATTAGAAATACTGACATTCTATAGAGATGTGGATAAAAAGTTTTTTTTTTTTTTTTTTTTTCTCCAAATGCCTTCAGGGCAGGTTTGGCTGGCTTGAGTTGTGGGGATCGAACCACAGCAACCTGAGGCTGACTGCTTTGTTGAAGCAGCCACTTAAAGAACTGAGCTATGGGGCAGGCCCCCAAAAAGTTTTTATGTTAACTTTTTGATTAGTTGTTTTCTGCTTTGTGCCACCTGTAATCTTTAAATATTTAAGTCAGGTCATTTCTCTCTTAGGTACTCAAAAGATACTCAGGAGAAGCTGGTCCAGAACGTTTTCCTTACTGGTGGGAATGTGATGTATCCTGGGATGAAAGCCAGGATTGAGAAAGAACTGCTGGAGATGAGACCCTTCCAGTCTTCTTTCCAGGTATTGACTGTTCTTTAGCTGACCATTTGGAGAATACTGTTAATTGTTTTTTGATTTAATTGGTTTTTGACTTGTGAAAGGTAAAAATCTAAATGAGAAAATTTACTATATAACCCATCATCCAGGGATATCCACTGTTAACATTTTTTGTGGCTTTCCTTCTAACCTTTAATCTACATTTAGTTGTTGAAGCAGAATCACCATCATGCTTTGCATACTGTTTTTTAGTTGAAAAGATTTGCATATCATAAAATTCAGAGTATACATTAAGTCATTTTCCTTAGCTACAGTCAAATTTTCTGTCATGTTTTCTGTGCAAACCTATCATGAACATTTTCCCATGTCATTGTTTTGAAATGCTATACTTGAATGACTGCCATATGAATGTCCCATAATTTACCCACAGAATTTCTTTTTTTTTTTTGTCAAATAGAAGAATTTTGTTTTATTTTTATTTTTTTATTTTATTGAGAAACAAATAGCAATGAGACAGTGTCAAAACCAATTAATAGGACAGTTTCAATAGTTAATACATTGTATATTGTTTTTTGTTTTTTTTTTTAATTTTTATTTGTTTATTTATCTATTTATTTTGTGTGTGTGTGGCCAGCTCAGCCCACCAGGGGGCAGGGCTGGCTGGCATGTGGTGCTGGGGGATTGAACAGCGGTACCTGTGCTTTGCTTAGCTTAGGTTGTTCTAAGAAGGTGCTTTAGACCACTGAGCCATCTCACCAGCCCCATTGTATATTTTTGTCTTCATAGTAGTTATTCATAGTACACGATGTAGACATGATATCCTGCCCAAACTATTAGTACAAATCTTTCTTCTCATTGAATTAAGAGAAAGTAGCTGTATATCTATCCTAATTATTTTGTATATACAGATACAAAATGGTCCTTCATTTGTATCCCCTTTTTTGTTTAGTTTTTTCAGAGATGGGCATTCCATTGCCATTTAATTATTGTAGGCGTGTGAATTCAGCAAAATAATCCACTATGATTACCAAGAAATGTGGTCTGGGCTGGGTGCTGTGGGAATGCTGATATGACATCCTAGACACAGACCCTAACAGCAGAGAACTCTCTTTCTGTGGGATAGCAGCACAGTGGACAGGGAGGCACAGGGTAGTCTCCATCAGCATGCAGAGCCAGGGAGAGAGCTCAGTGGCCAGAAATGGCAGCAGGAATGAGGAAAAGATAGACAAGAATCTAAAAGCTGGGTTAGGCAGCTTTTAGATTGCCATCTGTACCATGTGGAGTGGGGTTGGAGAGGGCATTTCCAAGTGAAGGGATAGGCAGTGGCTCCTCTCCCTGGTTGGCCAGAGGACCCCATGAGCAAAACAAAACCAGATGTTCATTTGTACTTTGTAAAGTTAGCAACATGTGACACAAGTGTCACACCTGGCAAGTGCCTGCCTGTCAAGCACAAGGTCCTCAGTTTGATCCTCGGTACCAAAACTAAAACAAAAACCCACTTCAGTTGAAGTTCTCTGTATTCACCTCCTCCGAAGACACAAGAGCTGTCTTGATTTTGGTGCTTATCTTTCCTATAAAAAGTTTGTATTGTCCATCAGCATGCAAAGCAAGCTTGGAACAGAACCTCCTAAGAAGTGTAGGTGTTTGCCATCTGTACCATGTGGAGTGGGGTTGGAGAGGGCATTTCGAAGTGAAGGGATAGGGTGGGATGAGGTACAGATTAAGAATTTGTTGAGGGAAGGAGAAGGGATTGTGTAGGGATCTGTTGGTCTTAGTGTAGGAGAAATGGCAGCAGGAATGAGGAAAAGATAGACAAGAATCTAAAAGCTGGGTTAGGCAGTGGCTCCTCTCCCTGGTTGGCCAGAGGACCCCAGGAGCAAAACAAAACCAGATGTTCATTTATACTTTGTAAAGTTAGTAACATGTGACACAAGGTTGCCTGGTGACTTAACCAGACAGGATGTTTTATCTCAGGATGGAGGTAGGTTGTTTGCTTTAGGCCTGAGGCCTAGTTCAACCTACACATATTTGATCATTTGTCCAGCTTCCACAGCTCCCGTCAGAATTGAGTGGGACTAGAGCATGTGGCAGCTACACAGGTTTAGAGTCCAAAAAGATGGAGAGCTCATTGGGGTACATGGGGAGCAGAGCCTGTCATTCTGTTTAGAAGTGTGGCCTTGGTCCCCCGTGCAGTGTTTTCTGTGTTCAAGTTTTGTATATTCATGAAGTTTTGTATGTTCTTTGAGCTTTGGTCCTGACTCCGTTCCTCCTGCAACTGCCTTTTGCTGAGCCTCTGTCTTCTCGGTGATAACCAGGGGTAGTCACAGTGCCTGGATACCAGGTGCTGAGCACAGAAGCTGTGCTCATAAACCCTCTGAAGTAGCTGAAATGGGGTAGGGGTCCCCCTAAGACAATTGTAGGTATGGTGTGCTGGGAGGACTTACCAACTTCAGCAAGTAGTCATGCATACCTGCGATATATGGCGTCAAAAAAATGCAGAATAAAGAGACAGCATGCAGGCTTTTAGACCCTGCTCCCAGGAGAGTTGCACAGGACACACTTAATTCCTCCATCAAGTTAGGCCAGCATATGAAATGTTGTCAGCCAGGGAAGCTCTTGAGAAACTTCAGCAGAGAGTTTTGGTTTTTTTTTTTGTTTGTTTTTTTTTGTTTTGTTTTTTTTTGGGCAGAACCAGGGATTGAACTCAGGTCGGTGCACTTGCCAGGGAAGCGCTTATTCCACTGAGCCATCTCCCCAGCCCCGTGAGTTTTGATTTGGGGATTGATCAGAGAGGTGCCTCTTGCCTGGCCTGTACCAACTGTCTAGATGGGGAGAAGAAAAGTAGGTGTTCGGAGTAGAGACCACACTGTACAGTGGGCACCGGGCCCCTCTGGTTGGGTAATGATGGGAACCCTGCTGTGCCTGCTCTGTACACAGGCCCTTTTAGGATGTGTGGCAGGCCTGCCGTGTTAGCCCTTCTTCATGCAGCTGTTTTCTTTAGACCACAAGGGATTACATAGGAGTAAGGGAGATATTTATATATTTATATTTTAGGAAGATTTTTTGACACTGGTGTTGTGGAAAACGGAGTATCTCAAGAAATATTTGGAGCAGGAGACCAGTTAGGAGGCTGCTCCCCAGCCTTTGATCCAGCCCTCTTTGCTGTCTGCTCAGCAGCTTACATGGTCCTTTATGAAGTGACCTTGAATAACCCTGTGTCATGATCACCCCTCTCTGCGCTTCGGCTGTAGTGAGTTGCTGCTCATTCTTCAGACTTGCTATGTTTTCTTGCTTCGGGCCTTTCTGCCTGCCGGTTGTCTTTGCACAGAGTATCCTCCTGGCTCCTTCCAGTCCTCATTGTACTTCCTGCTGTCCCTGTCTTTATGCTCACCAGGCTCACCTCCACAAGGAAGATGAAATGCACTCCTAGCCCTTGGCAGCCTGTCATGTAACCGCAGAGGACATAAGGCAATGACAGAGGGAAAAGAAACGAAGGTGATTCGAGGGAGATAAAGGGAGTGTGACTGGTTGTAGTGTCATACCCCTGTCTTGGCACTCTAGGAGGCTGAGGCCAGTGAAATGCAAGTTCGAACCCAGTCTGGGAACCTTAGCGAGCTAGAGAGACCCTGTCTCAAAATGAAAGCTAGGAATATAGCTCAATGCTTTGGGCTCGACCCTTAGAACCACAGTAAGTAAATAAAGTTTAATAGATTTTTTTAAAAGGAAATGTAATGTTCAGAACTGATAATAGATTGGATTTGGGGACAGGATTTGGACTTACGCAAAGTTCCAAGATTTATATGGGGCCTCTAGCTTGACAAATGCCTTGTTCACTGGAGTGGGCACTATGAGAGGAGCAGGCCAAAGGGCGAGTGAACTCTGCTGTGGGGTGCACCAAGTTTGCAGAGGAATGCGTAGAGGAAGAAGTGCTAGAGTAGCTGCCAAGGGCCCAGAAGTGGAGAAGGGTAGATTGGCATCCACCGCGCTGGTGCTGGGGCGCTGTTCAGGAGAGCCAGTGAAGTCAGGACCGCTTAGAAGCCAGAACTGACTGCAGCCTTCAGGGGCGGTTGGCACCCAGAGAATGCCTGTGATGGAGTAAGAGAGGGGTAGCAGTGCTGGAGCAGAGCGATGTTCTGAGGTGTCAGCAGGGACTTGGCTCAGGCTGGCAGGGCTCACTGTGTGAAGGAAGCCATGGTACCTCGCCTCGCCTCAGCTCCTCTGTTCCCCTAAACATTGCTAATGTGACTCGTTCGCTGAGTTCCAAGTTCAGATGTAACAGCAGTGGCCCAACCATATAGACTGTAGATCCTGTGTGAGCTGTACAGGGCAGAGCGCCTGGGGTGCACACAGCATTTACTCCTTATCTTAAATAGAATAGTTTGTGGGGTTCGAGATGTAGCTCAGTGGTGCAGTGCTTATGAAATGTGCATGAGGCCCTGAGTGAGTTCAGTCCCCCAAGAAAGGGTTGTTTCTCTTTAATAGCAAAACACTACAATATTACTAAAATATCAGACAATCTAAGCCAAAAATTTTAGAGTTTTAGCATCTGTGAGCAGTTTTTTCTATTTTTTTAGGTCATTTTCTTATTGTATGATTTTTACCAGAAGATTGTTAACAGCTTGTTTTGTAAGCCCCACCTCCTTTTTTAAACTTTCTGATTATAGTGACAGCTTTTCTTTATCAAGTATATTTCTAATGTATTCTCGTTATGACTATATTAATCTGTTATTAACTGCAGATCTTTTTTTTTTTTTAAATTTATTTATTTATTTAATTTATTTATTTTTGTGTGTGTGTCCAGCTCAGCCCACCAGGGGGCGGTGCTGGCTGGCATGTGGTGCTGGGGGATTGAACCATGGTCCAGGTGTTTTGCTAAGCTTGTTCTAAGTAGGTGCTTTAGACCACTGAGCCATCTCACCAGCCCTGCTTTTTTTCTTTCTGTATTTATGACAGGGTCTACAGGGTCTCACTGTGTAGATTGGATTCATAGCCTCCCAAGAGCTGGGATTACAGGTGCACGCCACCACGCCCAGTCTCAGTCGCTGTCTCAGTGCGCCCCGCAGGCAGGACCAGCACAGCATGCCGGGGATTGAACCCTGGTTGCTGTGCTCTGCCTAAGCAGGTGCTTTAGTCCGCTGAGCTATCAGGCTGGCCCTTGCATGTCTTATTAATAGTAATGATGGCCACATTTATTGACTGGTCTCTACCAAGCAGAATACCAAGTGCCTTACTCTCTCGCCAGCTTTTCCTCAGCTGGAGTGGTGGGTTATCTACTTCTTAGCATGTTATCCAGTCTTAGGTAAAGGCCCTTTTCACAAGTCCCTTGCTGTGTGGCTGCTGGGCACTTGGTTCCTGTTCTCCTCTTCCTCTGCATGCTGACTCTGGTGCTGATTCTGTTTTGTGTGGCCTGTTCTTTCAGAGTTTCTGAGACCACTGGAACTCCCGTAAGGGTTGGTAGAGGGAGGAATGGAGTGAAAGAAGAGGTGGTAGAGTGAGGCACCTGACCGAGAAAACAGGAGGCCTTGACGTGAGCTAGAGTGATCCCCTCTGTGGTCAGGCTTATACGGGGACCCTCACTGGACTGCCAACCCCAGTCTGCGCCAGCCTGAGCAGTGGCAGCAGCAGCACGAAGAATGCACCCGTTACTCAGCTGTCATTTCCTCACCGCGCCTTTGCTGCCATGGCCAGAGCTGCCTTGCATCAGCCATGGCCTCTCCTGTCCTGACGCTTGCGGTTGGCAGCGTTGTGAAGCAGGAGGCCAGGCAGCTGGTCTCTTTCCCAGAGTGGCAGGCTTTGCACTGGGAAAATCACCATCTGTTTTATGAGGTTGTGCCTGGGGCACGACGACTGCTCTTTGTGGGAGTCGGGATATTCACTCAGCTTACGTGGAGCCTGCACCATGTCAGAGTTTAGTGGGTCCATCCTGTGTGTGTGTTTCCGAGGACAGAGTTAGGGGACTGTATCTGAACCTGCTGAATGTTCATGCCTGGTGCCTGAAGCCCTTCTGGTGAGCGCTTGCTTATTGTTTCAGGTTCAGCTGGCCTTGAACCCTGTGCTGGATGCCTGGTATGGTGCTCGTGACTGGGCCTTGGACCACCTGGATGACATTGAAGCCTGGGTCACCAGGAAAGACTATGAAGAAAAGGGAGGAGAGTACTTCAAGGAGCACTGTGCCTCGAACATCTATGTCCCCATCCGCCTGCCCAAGCAGGCCTCACGTGCCTCAGAAGCCCCAGCATCTAGCAAAGGCTCGGCGGCCAGTGGAAGCGGCCCTGGGGAGGCCTAGGCCTCGGGACAGTATCCCTGTACACACTGCCTTTGAGCCACATCGGCAGCATGATGGGACAGCGACTCTGCTAGGTGTATCTAGCACAAGTGGTCACACGTGGCTGCAAAGTAGCTTTCTCCGAGGGAGAAGGGGTATTGCTGCAGGAAGGGGCTTGCAGTGGGCTTTTGGCATCTGTGGAGCTCACTGTACGTGAGCTGTGGCCTCAGTTCCCACAACAGTAAGGGAGACAGGTGGAGGCTGGAGGTGTGCAGAAGGTGCAAGACATTCCTACTGTGCTACAGAAACTTTTACTTTAGAAACATTAAAAAGTTATCAGTGTAGTTATTTTATTCTTCTGAATTTACTCAGAAATTGTTTGAATGCCCAGCCGGGGGAGGCATCTCATGTGGTTCCCCTTACCAGTAGGAGGAAGTAAAAGAAGCAGCCCAGAGAAAGTCAGCAGCTGCAGTAACTGCTGCTGCAGGCCTGCCTGGTGCCCTCTTCTGAAAGGCAGAAATGAGGTCATGGCCCAGCTTTCGTTCATACTGCTTGGTTTGCTGGGAACTTTTCTATATGCTTATTGTGCCTTTGTCAATTTGTTGGCTTCTTACCTGTCGCAGGCTTTTCTGAAGATTGAGGATGACTTTTGAGTCTTGTCCATAGTCTCCCATTCCCATACTGTTACAGCTTCATCTGAAATGGACAAAGCACCCTTCTTGTTTTTTTACAGAGATTGCTTGGTAAGAATTTTAAGTGTCAAAAACACCTAAGCGGGGCTGGTGAGATGGCTCAGTGGTCTAAAGCACCTACTTAGAACAAGCTAAGCTAAGCAAAACACAGGGACCGCGGTTCAATCCCCCAGCACCACATGCCAGCCAGCCCCGCCCCCTGGTGGGCTGAGCTGGCCACACACAAAAAATGAATGAATGAATAAATAAATAATTCTTAAAAAAAAAAACAAAACACCTAAGAATGGAGCCCAGGAGGCCCCTGAACAGCTGATACTGTCATAGAATCTGTGCATTTTGACCCCGTGGAGCCTGTAGGGCCACCCTCACATGAGCTGTGCTTGTAGCCTGGCCCAGGAACCAGCTATGCCCACTGCCAGCTGGAAGTAGCCAGAGCCGCAAGCCACATGTGGAGAGGGCTGAGAACCACAGGGAATGTGACCTGGTAATGTCTAGATTTTGCAGTTTGTGCTCCAAAACTGAGAAAATAGATTTTGTTTTAAGCACCAAGCTTAATGATCATTTCTTATGTTAGCCCTTGGACACAAGTACAGATGGCCAAAGTGAGGCAGAGTGAATCAGTTAAGCCATAGCAAAAGAAATGTTTGCTGTAGAATGGGGAGTCCACACATTGGAGGCCCTGGAAACAGCGAAGGCTCAGCCAGGGGAGCTGGCGTGGCAGTGGAGGAGGCCGAGGGCCTCGCGCAGGCCTGCATGTCACCCTTCTGTTCTCTGCTTCTGTGATTTTGGATAAAGGCACCTCATGAAAGTGGGCTGCCCAGTTGTGTCCTGTAACCAGCTCACTACACTTAGTGTAACGTCCTACAAGTTCATCCGGGTTGGCACGGACGGCAGAGTTTCCTTTTCTGCAGCTGAATAGCATCTTTATGTCTGTGCCACATCTTTTAAGCCATTCACCTTCTGACGGACACTGTTGTTTCTGTGTCTTGGCTATTTTGAGTAATGCTGCAGTGAACGCAGGAATCCAGATGTCTGAGATCTTGATTTTATCCCTTTGTCTATATACCCAGAAGTCAGATTGCTGAATCATGTGGTAGTTATGTTTTTTGAGGATCCCCTGCACTGTTTCCCATCGCATCTGCACCATTATGGATTTGTACAAAATGTGGTGCAAGCATTCCAGTTTATTCATCCTTACCAATAGCATTTTCTATTTTCTTAAACTGTTTTTGTTTTTGAAACAGAATCTCACTGTGTAGCCCAGCCTGGCCTCAAAACCTTTGGCAATCCTGCCTCAACTTGCTGAGTGCTGGGATTGCAGGCATGTGCCACCACACCCAACTGTTTGCTTTTTTTAATTATTATTTTTTTTTTGGTTGTGGTTCTGGGGATTGAACTCAGGGCCTTGTGTATGCAAGGCAAGAACTGAGCTACATCCCCAGCTCTGTATTGGTTTTTTAAACTAGCAAGACCTAACAGATTTTGCTTCCCTTGTGATGGCAAATGATATTGAGGATCATTTTGTGTGCCTATTGAGCATTTGTATGTCTTCTTTAGAAAAATGTCTATTAAAGCCCTTTCCCTGGCACTGGGATTTGGCTCAGCAGTAGAATGCTTGCCTGGTGAGCTGGAAGCCCTGGGTTCGGTCCTTGGCACCAAAAACAAACAAAAAAATAAAGTCCTTTGCCCAATTTTTGATTGGATAATTTATGTCTTTGTTGAGCTGTAGAAGTTCTTTATGTGTTCTGGATATTAATCCCTTATCAGATACATGCCTTGCAGATACTTGCTCTTCTAGGTTACCTTTTCATTCATTTCGTTCTCTTTTACTATGCAGGAGTTTTTAAGTTTACTGTAGTCTTGTTTGTTTATCTTTGCTGCTATTGCCTGTGTGTTAGAGTCATATCCAAAAAATTGCCAGTCTGATGCAATGAAAGTGTTTCTGTATTTTCTTCTAGGAGTGCTATAGTTCGCTTGTCAACTACAGTGAATTTTATATTGAATAAAGAAACAAAATTAATAATTAAGTTCTGATAATTCAGAACTTTCCTCCTCCTTGCAAAGGAAAACATCTGAATATAAACATTGTAAAGACACACAAGGGAATTAGTAAAGTTAACTTATAAGTGTCAGATCTTAGTAAAACTATTAGAGGCATAGATCGGGGTAGAGTGTGTATGGGGTGTGTACAAGGCCCTGGGTTTTGATTGCAAATACTGAAATAACAAGAAAACCTCTTGAGTCCCTAGGAAAAAGACTAAAATACCTTACACAAGAAAAAATTTAGATGACACACCAGACTTTTTGACATATTCCCTCCCTCCCCCGAGAGAAAAGCATCATTTTCTTTTTTTAAAGAAAAATAAAAATCAAACTTTATTGTTGCTTTTTGCCATTTGGTAGCATTTTTACACACAGGCTTCAATCTTAGAATTACCCTGGATTCAGTAGAAAAACCTTTTAATTGAAGTTTTTGTACAATAGAAACTTCTCAGCAATTAAGATTTAAGACTGTAGGGGCCGGGGAGATGGCTCAGTGGAATAAGCGCTTCCTTGGCAAGCTCAAAGGCCTGAGTTCAATCCCTGGTTCCACCGAAAAGAAAAAAAAAAATTTTAAGACAAAAAGATACATGCAAAACATTTCTCCAGCATTTCAACTCCCACCAAAAGTAGTCGTCATAGGAGCCAGGGAGATGGCTCAGTAGAATAAGCGCTTCCCTGGCAAGTGCAAGGGTCTGAGTTCAATCCCTGGTTCCACTAAAAAAAAAAAGTAGTCGTCATAGAAGGTGTAAAAGTCACCTAACTTGACTAGGCACTTTTTAAACACACAATAAAAATATTGTCCACGAACAACATCCCAGCTCTATGGCAGGTTTCAGAAAGTCTTCATCTTCATGCTTGAATAGCGGTGGGGTGAGTAGGATCGAGATCTGGAGTGTGATCTGTATTCTCCACAACTGTAATAAGAAGGTGACTGGCTTCTGTAAATCTGATCTCTGTCCTGAGCAGCTCTCCATCCACCTCCTCCACCACGTCCTCTGTATGATCTGCTGTAGTAGTCCTGATCATCATAGCCAGTCATATCCTCTGTTATAGTAATCTCGATGGCAAGAACTGCCATGGGTAGGTCTCCCCATGTAAATTCCTGGTGTTGGGGTATGTGGTCTTTTTGTTACAGAGAAATCTCATCAAGTCCCATTCCTCTGGCACGTTCTTTAGCTTCCTTGGCATTGTCTACATTTTCAAAATACACAAAGGCAAATCCTCTTGGACGCTTAGACTGCTGGTCACACACAGTAGACACATTGGCAATTGGGCCATATTTAGAGAATACTTAAATCTCTTTCTGTGGTGTACAAGCTCAACCCAAACACTCCAAGACAACAGTTTGGATCAGGATTCGCCCAATTCCCAACATAATGCTTTCGAGTAGACATGGGAGAATGGCTGTGGCTGTGGCATCTGTGATCATCCCAACTGTAAGACCTGCTACAGGAACGTCTGAGAACGAGATCAAGACTGACCTTGTATAATGCCTTCGAGAACTTCTGGATCTAGACCTAGATTCAGATCTGGACCTGGACTTTGATCTGGAGCGCCTGGAATCTTCCTTGGAGCGAGACCTTGCAGAGGTATGCCTTGTGGATTTCCCCAACCTGTGAGCACTCCCACTTCTGAAGCAGAATGGCATTCTTAGCGTAGTGCTTTCTAATTCCAGATTACTTCTTGACTTTTATTTTTATTTCTTCATTCTTGTGTTTCAAATTCTAACTTCTTTCATCTTCCCTACTTCATACAAATTGCTCAGTATTTTATAAGTGGGACTTCTGGTCTGATAAGTAGCATGCATTCTTTTATTTTTTCAAATTTCAGCTTCACTTATTCCTGAGCTCCAAATACTAATTTATAAAACTTGCCATGTGATGACTTCCTGCATTTTCCTTCAACATTCACCTGCTTGCCGTAGTTCTGCTCCAAGGGATCATTTTTAACACCAGCATCTGTTACTACAAAGTAGAAGAACTTGAGCAGTTAGCAGAAATGATAAAACAGATAAAAGTCTGAAGAACAACACAAGCAGAGCTTCGCGCTGCACAACTGTATTCCCAGCATTCTGGGAGGCTGAATCAGGAGGATCACAAGTTTGAGCCCAACCTGGGTGACTTAGGAAGACTGTCTCAAGAAAGAATTAGGATACAGCTTAGTGTGAAGCTTGTTTCAATTCCCAGTATGAAGGGGTAGGGACAAATTTAAAACTAGAAAGTCTGATTGAGAATAGAGAAAGTACTTCTAAAAGCTCCAGGCCCACTTGAGACACAGAATTCTATTAGTCTTGACACTCTGTTCCTGAAGCTTTTTCAGACCGTAGGAAACCAGTCAGACTTTGAATGTAGGGAGTGTGAGGTTTACTGTTCAATCTAGTAGATGGTACATACACAGGAAAACCGGATCCATCTCAAAAGTATCAACGAAGAAAACGCAGAATTACTTTCAAACAACCCACCAGCCCATTAAAAAAGAATACTTCAAAAAAAAAAAAACAATTTAAATCATTGTCTTATATAAATAATGATAATGCAAATGTGTAATGAACTATTGGTAATAAATATACAGCAACTTTTTGCTCCTGGGGTAAAACGAAAAAAAAATAAAAAGGAAAATTTTAAAAAAAAAAAAAATACTTCATGACCAATTAGATTTTTATTCCAGGAATGCAATTGTATTCTCCAGTTCCAAAAATCTCAGAGGCTTCATTCATTCAATGTTTCTTGTGCTGTGTGTCAGATGTCAGCATGGTGAACGGGGTGGGAAGCGTCATGCCCGTGCAGTCCTTGGGCCACCATCTGCAATCCAGCCATCTGAACACAAAGCAGAGAGAGAGCATCATGGATTGAAAGTCCTGGCTCCCGAATGTTCCACTCAAAAGTGACGCATGCCACACCTACTCATTTTGCTCTCCAACACAAATCTCGGGGTCATTGTCAACTCCTTAGAATTCCATTTTACCTGGCAGGCCAGATACCTAAGTGGACTAAAGCACCTGCTCAGGCAGAGCACAGTGGCCAGGGGTTTGATCCCCTGTGTGCCGTGTCAGCCCTGCCCCCAGGATGTGTAGAGATGGCAATGAGACTGGGTGTGGTGTTGAGGGCCTATAACCCCAGCACTTGGGAGGCTGAAAACAGGAGAATCACTATGAGTCCCATCTATGTAGTGAGACCCTGAACACCCTGTAGACACCGTACTAAATTTAAAAAAAAAAAAATCCATTTTGTTACTCCTGTGTGTAACTTTTTAGTTGTTGCTCTAGGGATAGGGATGACAGTGGATCCTTAGTGCATTAAAGTAAACTCAAAAGACCTGCCTTGAAGTAAACTCAAAGGCCTGCCTTGAAGTAATTCTCTAATGCTTCACATACATTGTAAGAATGGGAGCGCAAGGGCCTGAGTTCAGTCCCTGGTTCCACCAAAAATAAAAAAAAGAATGGGAGCACATAAAGCTGTGTTTCCGCCATTGACTCTTCTTTCTGCTGTTGTCGTGTGTTTTACATATGTTATAAAACCCATCACATGCTAATATTTGTATTTAGTATTTTTTAAAAATCTTATTTATTTGGTAGAGGTTCTCCCTATGCAGCTCAGACTCGCAGCGATCCTCCTGTCTCAGCCTCCCTTACACTGGGATTACAGGTGTGTGCCACCACATCTGGTTTCAGTGGCTAGCACAGTGTGCCTGGGGTTCTGGGATTATAGGTGTGCACCACCACATCTGGTTTCAGTGGCTAGCACAGTGTGCCTGGGGTTCTGGGATTATAGGTGTGCACCACCACATCTGGTTTCAGTGGCTAGCACAGTGCGCCTGGGGTTCTGGGACTAGCATGGCATGTGGTGCGGGGGATTGAACCTGGGTCCTTGTGCTTGCCAGGCAGGTGCTTAGACCACTGAACTATCTCCCCAGCCCCAGTAGCCTTCTAGAGGAATCTAAAGAGGGTCTTTGAGTTTACTTATGCCTTGACTCGTCCTGAAGGGAGGGGTAGGAGGGAGGACAGTTTCTTGGCTGCTCTCTAACCCAGAAGTTCTCAAGTTTCATAGGATGAGGAGGGTTCTTTCACTTTCTGGTCTGTGCCTACCTGACAAAGCCTTTGGAAATGTTCCGGAGGAGATGGAGTGGGGTTCTCTTGGGAGCCACTGCTCAGCTGGGACAACCTGGCTCAGTGAGATCAAGAGATAAATTCTTCAGCCTGGCAGTTTCCATCCTGTGCAGGGTTGTTTTGTG